ATTATTTGCTGAAATTTGTTTCCGTTAAAAGTGATTTAAATCCTTAGAAATAGGGTCCAAAATACAGACTAATAATTGTTATTCACCAACTATGATGATCGTGGGTCAATATATCTTCAAAAGAAAATCTTAAAAAAAATTGAAAAAGTAAAGCCGATAGCCTTAGAAAAATAACACATTATTTACTGAAATTTGTTTCCGTTAAAAGTGATTTAAATCCTTAGAAATAGGGTCCAAAATACAGACTAATAATTGTTTTTCACCAACTATGATGATCGAGGGTCAATATATCTTCAAAAGAAAATCTTAAAAAAATTGAAAAAGTAAAGCCTATAGCCTTGGAAAAATTACACATTATTTGCTGAAATTTGTTTCCGTTAAAAGTGATTTAAATCCTTAAAAATAGGGTCCAAAATACAGACTAATAATTGTTTTTCACCAACTATGATGATCGAGGGTCAATATATCTTCAAAAGAAAATCTTAAAAAAATTGAAAAAGTAAAGCCTATAGCCTTGGAAAAATTACACATTATTTGCTGAAATTTGTTTCCGTTAAAAGTGATTTAAATCCTTAAAATAGGGTCCAAAATACAGACTAATAATTGTTTTTCACCAACTATGATGATCGAGGGTCAATATATCTTCAAAAGAAAATCTTAAAAAAATTGAAAAAGTAAAGCCTATAGCCTTAGAAAAATACACATTATTTGCTGAAATTTGTTTCCGTTAAAAGTGATTTAAATCCTTAAAAATAGGGTCCAAAATACAGACTAATAATTGTTTTTCACCAACTATGATGATCGAGGGTCAATATATCTTCAAAAGAAAATCTTAAAAAAATTGTAAAAGTAAAGCCTATAGCCTTAGAAAAATAACACATTATTTACTGAAATTTGTTTCCGTTAAAAGTGATTTAAATCATTAAAAATAGGGTCTAAAACTCATACTAATCTTTGTTTTTTACCAATTATGATGATCGTGGGTCAATATATCTTCAAAAGAAAATCTTAAAAAAATTGAAAAAGTAAAGCCTATAGCCTTGGAAAAATAACACATTATTTGCTGAAATTTTTTTCTGTTAAAGGTGATTTAAATCCTTAGAAATAGGGTCCAAAATACAGACTAATAATTGTTTTTTACCAATTATGATGATCGAGGGTCAATATATCTTCAAAAGAAAATCCAAAAAAAAATTGAAAAAGTAAAGCCTATAGCCTTGGAAAAATTACACATTATTTGCTGAAATTTGTTTCCGTTAAAAGTGATTTAAATCATTAAAAATAGGGTCCAAAATACAGACTAATAATTGTTATTCACCAACTATGATGATAGAGGGTCAATATATCTTCAAAAGAAAATCTTAAAAAAATTGAAAAAGTAAAGCCTATAGCCTTGGAAAAATAACACATTATTTACTGAAATTTGTTTCCGTTAAAAGTGATTTTAATCATTAAAAATAGGGTCTAAAACTCATACTAATCTTTGTTTTTTACCAATTATGATGATCGAGGGTCATTATATCTTCAAAAGAAAATCCAAAAAAAAATTGAAAAAGTAAAGCCTATAGCCTTGGAAAAATTACACATTATTTGCTGAAATTTGTTTCCGTTAAAAGTGATTTAAATCATTAAAAATAGGGTCCAAAATACAGACTAATAATTGTTATTCACCAACTATGATGATAGAGGGTCAATATATCTTCAAAAGAAAATCTTAAAAAAATTGAAAAAGTAAAGCCTATAGCCTTGGAAAAATAACACATTATTTACTGAAATTTGTTTCCGTTAAAAGTGATTTAAATCATTAAAAATAGGGTCTAAAACTCATACTAATCTTTGTTTTTTACCAATTATGATGATCGAGGGTCAATATATCTTCAAAAGAAAATCCAAAAAAAAATTGAAAAAGTAAAGCCTATAGCCTTGGAAAAATTACACATTATTTGCTGAAATTTGTTTCCGTTAAAGGTGATTTAAATCGTTAAAAATAGGGTCCAAAACACATACTTATCTTTGTTTTTAACCACTTTTGATGATCGAGGGTCAATATATCTTCAAAAGAAAATCTTAAAAAAATTGAAAAAGTAAGCCTATAGCCTTGGAAAAGATACACATTATTTACTGAAATTTGTTTCCGTTAAAAGTGATTTAAATCATTAAAAATAGGGTCCAAAATACAGACTAATAATTGTTTTTCACCAACTATGATGATCGGAGGTTAATATATTTTCAAAAGAAAATCTTAAAAAAATTGGCTTGGTCGAGTGTCAATGAAGAGAAGACATCTTGTGGATTTAGAAGTCAAATTTAATTTCTCTCTCCCTCTCTTTCTATCTATTTACCAACTATTTTACATTGAAGTTTATACCATTATGGTATAACCAGGCGGGGACAACAACGTTTAGCCATATTTTTTCTTTTAACGAAGCTTTCACCATGATCAGCAACTTTTATAGTCTTGAAACTTCATGGTTTGATAATTGTATAGAGGTGGGCAATTCCGCACTGTTCACAGAATATGTGACCACACAACGTTTGATTCAAGAAGTTCTTTCCAAGTATATATTGACTGACATCTCTTATGACAATAACTATCTTAAAAAAAATTGTTTTTAACCTAGAGGCTAGTAATTTCCAGACTGGTGATGCTCAAGCAATCGCTGTCAAATTCCTGTGACTTTTGTTTACATTAGGGCCATAAAAGCTAATGACTACACTTATTACTAGGCACCCAAACATTACCTAATACGAATAAAGATCCTTCTTTTTCGGCTTTTTGAATTTCGAGTGGCAGCAAATCAAATGTCTATTCGATATTATGTGCGTGTACTAAATTATATTGTGTCGTATTCAATCTTTGGATTTTGCTTGAAAAATGAAAAATTGCTTAAAAATTCAGTTTGTAATATTAAGTTTGTAAGAAGCTCAAGCAGTAAAATAAAATCTTCAATCGGACAAAGAATTATGCCCTTTTGTATGAAAAAGTCACATTTTTTATGAAAAGCCCTTAAAAGCTATTTGAAAAACGTCATAGGGTTTTAATTTTATAATTCAGTCCCAACAACCCTGTCCAAAATATACGAAACCCACCCCCTCCCCCTTAAGCAGGTGGATTTGAGATTACATCAAAACTAAAAAATAGCCGATTTAACATTGCTTAGCATCCTTCTTCATTGTATTTATTGTTTCAAATTTTACAATTTATTGAAAAAAGATAATAGTTAGATATTAGAATTGCAACCCCTTTTTAATGTCATTAGCCAAAAAATACCATGCAAAGCAATTTTAATTCCAATGTTTCAAATAATTAGGCCTCCTTAGTAAAATATCTTGTAAAATGAAATAAATGTTAACTAAAAGAAATTATTCAAAATTGATTGACACACATAAAGATGTAATGAAGATAAAAGGGAGTCAACTAAACTATCCTGATGACTGTACTCAGATTAAATATCTAAATGAATTTGCTAAAGTTCTGACAGTGGGTGGAGAATGACTGTAAACTGAATAGCTGTGCATACTTGGGTATAAATATAGAGGAATTCAGTGCAATTAAAGAATAGAATAGAGACTGCTTAAATGCAACACTGTGCAAAGACTGAACAAAAAGTAATGAATCTGGTTGCTGATTTAGAACCTTGAAGATTTTTCTTCATGGAATTCGAGTGTTGCATAATTAACAGTTCTTGTTTGTTGTCACTATCATATGCACTTCAAACAAGATAGAAAATGGGTAAGTGATAATATATTTTCAAGGTGGACTACCTAACTGCTCTACCAGGGAATATTGTTAAAATGCCCCTAACACCAATTCATTACCAAGAAATTGAATAAACATATTTAGAAGATAAGATTCAGAGACTTTGCATGAGTTAAGCTTTTACTGCAGGACATTGCTTAGCAGCCGCAGTTACTATCTTGCTTGCTAGGAGATGGCTTTTCTTTCAAATCAGTCATGCGTGGTTTTGCTCCACCAACCATTGTGGGGTCAGTTTCAAGGCTTTCAGCCATTTTATCACAAACAATGTCCACCAATTTGTCAAAGGCTGATTTCACATTAATATTTTCTTTTGCACTTGACTCAAAGAATGGAAAACCAAGCTGTTCTGCTAGCTTTTTGCCTTGGTCATTACTGACAGCCCTTTCCTCCTCCATGTCACATTTGTTACCAACCAAAACAACTTGAGAATTATCCCAAGAATATGTTTTCACTTGACTAGCCCTGAAAGCAATAACCAACTCTTAAAATCTAGTTTAAAGAAACTAATACTTTATTTTACTGCTAAAAATAGTTGCTCATTACACGATAAACTTTTTATAGGTAATCTATAAGGTAGTCTCTAGGGGAAAGGGTAGTCTATAGGGGTAAGGGTGGTCTATATGGGAAAGGGTAGTCTATATGGGAAAGGGTAGTCTATAGGGGAAAGGGTCGTCTATAGGGGAAAGGTTCGTCTATAGGGGAAAGGGTAGTTTATGGGGGAAAGGGTAGTCTATAGGGGAAAGGGTGGTCTATATGGGGAAGAGTAGTTTATGGGGGAAAGGGTAGTCTATAGGGGAAAGGGTCGTCTATAGGGGAAAGGGTCATCTATAGGGAAAGGGTCGTCTATAGGGGAAAGGTTCGTCTATAGGGGAAAGGGTGGTCTATAGGGGAAAGGGTCGTCTATAGGGGAAAGGCTAGTTTATAGGGGAAAGGGTAGTCTATAGGGGAAAGGGTGGTCTATAGGGGAAAGGGTCGTCTATAGGGGAAAGGGTAGTCTATAGGGAAAAGGGTCATCTATAGGGGAAAGGGTAGTCTATAGGGAAAGGGTAGTCTGTTCATACTTTCAGTGAAGGGTATACATTGCATGCACAAGTAAGAAACAAGAGCTTGCTAGAATGATTATCCACACCACACAAACATTCAAATCTTATATAGACTAATAACTTTGTGTAAGTCTTATCAATTTTAGAGTTAAGGAACAATATACATTGTGTGAGCAGTGCATTTGCTAGCCATTGCACTCTAGGGTTCAGGCCTAGTTTGCCAAAAAGTGAGCGAGATATCCTTTATTTGCTGACAGAGTAGATAATTCACTCAAAAGCACCCCTCCATGGCATAAAACTATTTGATTTGAAGATAAAACATTGTTCAAAATTACAGTTTACAGAAGCTCATTTTGACAACTTTGAAACTTGTATTCTTTTAAAACTGTTCCAATAAAGAACAGGTGTATATACAATAGTTTCTTAAAATACATAAACCTCACATTGCCTCATTGTTAAAATACATTGCCTCAGCCCTGTCATGTTATAGGACAAGTATTTTTAGGATTTCATTAAGTAGTACCAAAATCCTTGAATAAGGACCACATCAAATAAGCTCCCACCACCTCCACTTTCAGAAATGGGCTCTTACTCAAAATTTAATCCAAAACAGGTTTCAGATACATAAGTTTTAGTCTAACAAAGCAGTTAAGGCAGTTAGCAGAAAAAGAGTAGAAATAAACACTGTTTGAAAAAAAGCTTGTTCTAGTTTTCATTCTTGTCAGTCTCTGGGCCTCATTCAAAGATTCATGGTTGAATGGAGTTATAACAGCATGGCAAATTAAAAACATTAATTTTCATGGTAAATAATATTATTTTCTTTATCAATTTATCAAAAGAAATGAAGGAACCTGATTAGAACCTGAACAGAAACTTTGCACTAAACAAGCTTTCGCTGGAAAGGTGTGTGATAAAAATGATCATTACAACGGGATGAATGCCACGCCTCAAATGACTCTGCCGAGGATATATTATCAAAGTTGATGAAAACTATGTAGAAACTTGCTTAAGTCTTCAGAAATAACATGTTTTTTGTTAAAATGTTAGTAGTGATGCTAAGGATTCAGCGAATTAAATTTCATCAAAATTATTGGTGTCATCATTGTCGCATTGGCAATTTCTGCATGGATCTATTATGATAACCATAGATTTTTGCTAAAAAATGTCACACGCCATCACACGCCTGGGTGTTTTCAGGCGTGCAGTGGTTAGCACACCTGCCATATTTTTCCCACGAAAGCCTGACTAAATATACTGGTTCTATATCAAATATGATGGTTCCAGATCAAATGTGAGAATCTTTCAAAAATTAGCTAGGGGTAAGGTGATGCACAACAAAGGCTGTGACATGTGACGCTACTGCCAAATGCAAGAAACTTAGCATGTCTACTGTCTGAATACTCACAATGACAATGTTAGCAACTGCCAGACTTATAAGAAAGTCCTACATTCCCTACAACCACAAGCCAGACGACAAAATATATATATAAAATAAAAAGTGATTTTAGTGATATAGAATTTACAATATATTTATATTTATATATATTTATATGGCAGATGTTAGTGAAAGAATTATCTCCCTATGAATGCTTTTTATATACATTTTCCTTTAGAATGTCCTTATTTTTAATATAAACAAATTAGACAGCCATCAAAATGAGGATATATTTATTCCACACTTTTTATTGCCCATTTGATTTAGTGCCACTCTGAAAGCTTTAGAAAATTCACTGACAACGAATTATGTCTGAGCTGACTAAATTGCTTTTGATAGCAATAAGGAACAGAAAATTAACCATTCCTTAGTAAAGTCTAGCGAGTTGTTTGGTTGTTAGTATGCCTGACATCATTCTGTTGGACCAAAAAAGACACTAGATGAATAAAGTTCCATACACATTATAACTTTCATCAAAGCTTGACCATGACTATTGACCTTGCTACACAAAAAAAGTCTCCTCAGCTGAAGAGTCACTTTGAAAGCAGACCAGAAAAAAAATGGAACAAATTAAAGTGCCAGAAAGCAATGTGGCAACAACAGATAAATTTTAAAAAGCAAGGTTTGTTGAACCAGATTGCTTTAAAAAGACAATGAGAAATATCATTGTTCGGCAGCCTAATACTTTTATTAAGGTTCTTTATGAACTAGAACTTTTTTTTGAAAGAGTTTCAAAAAGAATTTAAGGTGTAGGGAGAAGTTTATGTTTCTCAGAGTTTTCTTGAGAGTATAATCAATCTCATAATTCTATCTATGTGGGTAATCCGCTGTTCTTGTAGAATTTTCTTTGCCAAAAGGTCTGCTTAAAGATTATAACAAGATTATAAGTGCACTTACCAGTCAGTTACTGCCCTGAATGATTCCTCATTTGTTATATCATACATCAGAATAAAACCCATAGCACCACGATAATAAGCAGTTGTAATTGTTCTGTATCTTTCTTGGCCCGCTAGAAAAGGGCCGATAACATTAGCATGTGCAAATTACAACAACAGACTATAGTGATTAAGAATCTACTAAATTATTCAAGAAAATGCAAACACAATCATGAAAACTGCACAGTTTTTATTATTGAAAAATCTTAAGCTTCCAAGGAATGTTCTTCAGGCTATATAGAACATTTCTAGCTGGAATCAATCCAATGTTGGCATTGAAACAGCTTCCAAAGACTACAGTTGATACCACCTGTCAGCTACAGCACAGGGGTATTTTGAAGAATAAAAATGTTCCATTTTGAAGACATTTAGCATCAAATAGCAAGGTTACATTATTTAGCTCAAATATACATACATATATACATATTTCCTATTTCCTATTTCCATTGTTTCTATTGACCTATTTCCATTGTTTCTATTAAAAGTTAAATAAACATAAAATCAGAATCTTTCTTTAAAAATTGTCCCATTCTTTTAGTAAATGAAATGGTATTTATCTTCTTTCGTTCATTCTTAAGATGTTTTTTGAACATTTCAATGGTTGAATTCTCCATTTCTTCACTTAATAAATTCCACACCACAGGACCTCTGAAGGAAATCGAGTTTCTGCCATTTTCTGTTTGGTATCTAGGAATCCCGAGTGTATGATTAAACCGACTACTGTGTCTTTCTGTTTTTGATTCAAAAGCGTATCAAAGGAAGGCTTTTTAGTTTGTACTTTTGCATAAATATGAGGATTTGTCTTTTATATTGGTAGCTTAATGAGTCCCATTTTGATGTATTCAACACCTCACTGTCTTCCACATTTGTCAGAATCCTCTTAATTACTCTTGCAGCTTGTAGATCGATTTTCTCTAAATCTTCAAATAGGATTTTACTGCATGTACCCCATGTAGCTATTGCATATGTTATGGTTGGTATTACTGTTGTGGAGTAAATTTCTTCAAGGAAATTTTGGGACTAGTATTTCAGATTTTTTAACTTTTTAAATTCTTCACCAAATGATTTATGTATCAATTTAATCTGGGGTTTGCATGTCAGTTTGCTATCGACAAAAACACCAAGGCATGATTCAGATGTGTGCAGATACTCTATCATCTGTTCACTGAGATAGGGGACCAATTGGTGTATGTGCCTTAGCATTGTCCGCAAATCTTCACATACTTGGTTCATGGTGATGCCAGCACATATATAACAGATATATAATATATATATATAACACATATACAACAAAGTAAAATGATTTTAATTCTGGAAAATGCCACTGGTAAAGAGGAAGAAGAAAATAATCTGATTTAGCTGCATTGGCTCTGTCTAAAACTCGAAGCTGAATAAATGGATTTTTTGAGAAGGGCAGGGGCTTAAACAAAAATAGGGTTTCTGCAGAGGATAGCTTAACTAATACAGAAAAGGTCAAAATACAGGGAGTTTCAAAAGAAAAAATGAAGAAAATATAAGCTCTTGCTGAACATTTGTCAATGAAATTATGATTTCCCTGAACATTTTTGTGATGAGTGATAGTGAGTTGTTGATAAATGTGCTCAAAAATCAACTGATGGTGCCATGAGAACAGAGATCTTAGAGCTAGATAAAAAGTGAATTCTGATAAGATTAATTTTGGAGGGCCCTAAAAATATGTGAAATTTGTGCAATATTATCAATTGAGAAGCAAAGTTAGGGCTTGAGGTGGCAATCTACACATACAAATGGCTGAGAAGAAGCTAGCTATGATTGTTGTTTAAAAATGCTTCAAGAATTAGCACAATCACCCTATCAAAAAATTTGTTTGCCAGTGTATACAGCTTTCTAACAACAATGCTTTCATCCTCCCTGGCATTCAAGGGAGCATACATCAAGCATTTTGTTACAAAAGCCCTTAAAAACTGCATCAAAACACTCAACTATGCAAATGCTCCAGACATATGATTATCCACTATCTAGCGTTTATCAACTTTGACATAAATGACATAAATAGCGGTTGCTTATTTTCAATGTTTTGTTTACCTGCTTTCACCTTTTGCAAATGCAAAAGAATTCATTTCATTGGACAAGATAAAACATTAGGTACTGTCATAATGCACAAGAATTTCTAACATGTCCTAAAGTTTTTTTTTCAGTGAAACAGCTAAGGCTTGTTGAAGGGAACTGAGATTGCGCTACAAAATTATCCTAGAAAAAATACGAGCAGAATGCTGGCTAGGCACAATTGTGTACAGGTTGTTATTTCCGTTGATGTTGTCTAACGAGACATTTAACTGTCATTATAATTTCTTCCTGTGTAACATGATACCTTCGATTCACCAGAGCATTGAGAATGACATAAATCATTTTAAGCACAGCATTGTCCTTCAGCGTAAATGGAATGTATTCGAGTGGGTTGAGTATCGTGTAAACAATCAGTTTTTCAAAAAAGCTTGTGAATTGCGGTTAGCGGAGAAACGCAGACCCGATAACAGCATCATAACGCATATGAAAATTTCAAAATCCTAAAGGGCAGAGAAGCACTGATGAATGAATAAATTCATCGAGAACCAGGAGAAAGGAACTTTCTAATTTTTGCGAGTAGAAAAAACAGAAACACCTGCATGGTAGATAAAACAATAGACCAACAAAGAGGTGTCTTCACGTCATCAACCATCCAAATAAACGAATGCCTACCTTTTCCAAAAATGCTTCTCATACTCCTCGTGAAACGGCTTGAATCGTCAAAATTTCGTAAACAACAAGAAAATAAATCAGCATATCAAAATTTGTTAAAAGCTGCCCACGCAAGCTTTTAAAAAACTTTAGGGTGGGCCTACCTGTATCCCATATTTGCAGTTTGATTCGTTTGTCATTTCTGAAGACAGTTTTCACTTTAAAATCAATCCCAACAGTAGATACGAAGGCTGACGTGAAAGAGTCATCTGCATATCTAAATAGGAAACTTGTCTTTCCAACGCTTGAGTTTCCAATGATCAAGAGCTTAAACATATAATCGAAGTTCTGATCGGCGGCATCCTTCTTCCACTTGTTGTCAGCAGCTGCTGCCATCTTTGATTTCGGTGGTCACTGTGAGCAATCAATGAGTGTTCCTGTTTTCATGTTGTTAGATGAATGTATCACGTGATAAATGTAAACCAATAGGAAGCTGAATGTTCATAAGAGCTATTGTTACTATTTTGTATTCACAAACGATCGAATAATGGGAAGGTGTTTGGAATGAATAAACAAATGACTCATTAATTTGGCAATATAACTGTAAGATCTCAAAATATACACGGGAACCGCACAGCCATTGGGCTAGCCGTGGCCATAGCCCCCCTAGGCCGTTGCCTCTGCGCCTGTATTTTGTCATCCCGTTGCAAAAAAACTGTGGAAACTGTGCCTTTCTATGTGCTGATTCTAGATTTATTTGTTTCCAAACTGGAAACCCTGCAGTTTTTTTGCAATTCGGGTTCTAAAATCAAAATCGTGGTTCTGTTGTTCCATTTTACGGTTAGAATATTTTTTAGAAAGATTATTATAACAAAACTTTGGAAAGTTTACTCAACCAGATCCTCAGTAGTAGCACTTCGTCATGGCTGGGAACCCTTTTTTGTTCATTTTCTTGGTGTCTTATCTTGTTAAGTCTATTTTTATAGTAAATGATATCTTCTCTGAATCAGGCTGTTTATGAAAATAAGTGGAAAGAAGCAAGTATTTTCTTAGTATTTAAAGGCGTTTCCAGGCGTTTTTAAGGCGTTGCCCCTGTAAAATTCTCGGTCACGCCCATTTCACCCCAACCACTTTTAGAATGGTGCGCGGTGCCTGATATACACAAAGATCATCGAACACATAAATGTTCACAAAGATAGAATCGTGCATGCAGAGTCCAGAAAACATTACGGTCGCACGGTCATTGACCGGAGGAAGGTTTGAGAAACAATAGAAATTTGGAGGAAGTTTTCGGTAAAATGGAATTTTAAAAAATAATCAAGACAACTCATTTTGCATTTGTTTCCTGTCGCAGAGTCGAATGGTGAATGGTGGCACGAACAGATGCAAAATTTCTAGGCCATGCCCTTTTACCGCCAGAAAACACATCTGAAAAGAGAATGCTGTTCGTGTTCCATGGTTTTGAAATTTTTCAATGCATATTTTATCATGTTTCCATCGATTTTATCATTCGAAATTTAAATAGAAATATTATTCTTGAGCTGTATAATGTGATTGGTATCTATTATTATAATGTGATCTTGTGTGATCTAGCAAAGTTTATCGTATGCGGGAATTACCATCGACCCAGACACATAACTTCGTCTCGATTTATTGCGTCTGTCATCCTTTATGCCGTAGCCACTCCCTAACCACGCCCGGTCCAAGGTGATTGCTTGAAAAATTGGAGAAAGGTTTTGACGGTGAAAAATTTGACCGGAAGAAGGTTGAGGACTTTTCTGGACTGCGTGCAGACCGTTTCTGTTGAATTTTTAACTTATTTTTCTGTTGTTTTTTGTATGGGTTAGACCTTTTGCAGTGACTTAGGCGAAATAAAGCGCCACAGTTAAGGGCAGTAACTTCAAATCTATTAACTTAAACATCAACAATGTATATTCCTTGCATCACGGGCAGTAAAATTTTTATTACAAGCCCTTTTGGCCCATTCATTTATGTTCAGCTATCTTCCGTAAATCAGTACATGGAGATTAAGAATTAGATTCGTCTCATCTCATTTGAAAACTAAAAGCCTTAGCTTCTTCTCTGATAAGACCCTCCTATCTCACAAACCAAGGTCAACAACACTTATCTGAACCGTAATTCTTTATGAAATAGCTTGACATTTCTCTGAATTCGCAATCAACTTATTTGTAACAGTTGTAGGAAAGCTGATTTTTTCCTTAAATCCTTCAATCAACCAGACCTATTTTAAGAAACACAGAATATAATGAGCTCTCTTATCTGCTACCCTTCACGTTTCTCGCTCTCTGGAAAGTTCCATTGGACAGCGGAATGATGCAAAGAAAAAAGCTTGTAGGCAATCTGTCTCGTTGTGGATTAAAGGGGGACTGGAAACAATTAAAAATTCCCTTTGTTCTTATAATCAATCAACGTCGTGACAGATTGCCTTTAACATCTAGGTGCAAATACACTCTTTTCATAAGAGTATTGTTAATAAAAATACTCCGGCTCAGAATCACCCAATTTTTTGGAAAATCATAAGAATACTGCTCAGCCTCAGCTTGCACATTTGTGCCTCGTTTTTGCTTGTTTTGCGATGTTCATAAAGAGGATCGTAGAACTGACAAATCTCGTTTTTCTTCAAAAAGCGGGGTTTCTTCTATCAGAGGACGGGCGATGTACCTCCTACATACTCTAAGAATATATTCCGGCTCAAAACGAAAATTTCTTAAGAAAATTGAGGCTGGGCAAAATTTAAAGTATTCTCATACAGAATAGAGTGAGCACTGTTACTCAAGCTTCATTTCTTGCTTGCGTGTTAGTACGCGGCAATATCAGACCAGAGGATAAAATTCAGGAGGAACAAAGCTAAACGGCGACGAGAATCCAATGTAATTCAAACTAAATTGAATAAAACGAATACACTCTTTTTTTATAAGAACAATTTTACAATAATACGAGCCTCAAAACTGGTCAAAAGTTAAGAACAAATCAAGAACAAGCTGAGGCTGAGCTTCTGCAAAATGCAATTTTGAACAACGTTTTTTCTCAAAATCTAGGATTTTTAGCAATGTGTGAGTCCTTTTTCGGTGAATATTCAAATTTGTCAGCAAATTAAGGCTTTCTCACTCACTCTGTTGGCAAATGAGGCCTGAACACCTCCTTAGAACGAAAAAACTAGCAATAGCATTGCTAACACCCTCTGAATTTAAGAACAAATTAAAAACAATCCAGCCTCAGATTTTCGAAAAAATTAAGAACAGTCAGCCTGAACTTAAATTTACTGGTTCTTATAAAAAAGAGTGTACTAATATTTCGCCCCAGCTTACAGGGCTTCATCAGAGTCTATTATCGGATCAGTTTGACCAGATCAGGTTTTTGAGTACGCCGTAGACCTTCCAAACGAAGATCTTCGATACAACAGGAAAGTCGATTCTCAGTGATAATAAGTTATTTTTGGTATTAATTCAAACAGGGATATTTATCGATCTATGAAACAACCTTACGGGCAGGTTAATTCCAAAACCATTAGTTCACCGTACTCGCTATTTTATCAAATTTCTTATAAACTAATTACAATACAGACCTATTACATAACTATACTCTAAATCAATATCAATCAATCAATTGACGTACAAGTTGCTAGATACAAAAGCAAAACTAAAAAAAACGATGTACAAATAATGAGTAAAGCAATGGTTGGCAAAAATAAGGGTAGCGGCATGTTGACTTGTCACAAGTTTTTGCATTGTGTTTATGTTCAGGAGCTGTATTTCTAAACGGCTACTGCAAGGAAGCACCAAGAAAAGGGAGTCAGAGGGAAGAGAACGTCCTTGACAGTGACTTAGTTGCGCAACGCAAACAACACAACAATTTGTTTTCGAGAAGTTCTACCTGTCCCTATGATACAGATTAAAAATACTGAAACAAAAGACGAAACCATACGATTCTCTTTCATGTCATCAAAAATTTGAACATACAAGAAAATTTTATGTTATGTACTAAATAATGTATTATACAGGAGAATTTGATGCTCGGTATTATTATGATTTTATTTACAAACATATGCATCACATAAAACGCAATGATTTAACTCAAAAGTATGAATAAAATGTATACAAAACGACGTTTCTTTACGATTCCGTTTGAACCATTTAAGGATCGTATTTTCAAACACTTGTTCCTTACAAACTATTTTAACTATTAAAGGATCCTATTTCTCAAACACTTGTTCATTATGTTTCCATTTTAACTATTCAAGGATCCTATTTCTCAAACACTTGTTCATTATGTTTCCATTTTAACTATTTAAGGATCCTATTTCCCAAACACTTGTTCATTATGTTTCCATTTTAACTAATTAAGGATCCTATTTTTCAAACACTTGTTCACAGAAACTGTGTACCCAGTAACCAGTGTATCAGGGTATTAACTGATTGTTACCTGACTATGACACGATTAAACAGGTGGAGAAAAGAGTCTCTCTTCTATAAATGATATTATTGATTGCAGTAAGTAATGAAACGTAAAGATCCGAAAAGACAACCGAAGGGTGAGGAATTCATCATCTGCAAGTGTTAAAAGTGAACTGCCAAAATTTATTGCGAGATTACCAAGGCGCTTTGAAGCTCTAATATAACTAAAATGTGCTGATAATCGTTACAAAACGGCATTTAGAATTTAGAAGACATAAACATTAAAACAATACTAGCTATGCAAAACATTGTAATAAAAATACAAATCACTGCAACAAAGCAACGCTAAAGAGCCCGTTCGATCCACACTTCAATGCGTAGTAATTAGAAAACTGTGGTTGGCTCTTTCCTTAGCATGACTAACTCGCACGACTTAGGGTCAGTACGCCGTTCTGTAGGTAACAGGGAATCAACTGTCCACGAAGTTCCAGCCCTGTTGTTTTAGGCAGAGGAGCCTAACAAAGATTTGCTAATCACTCCACACAGTCAATTCAACTTTTTCTCCACCGTCGTGTTTTGGATATTTTTGCGAGAGCACTTTATTCCCGATTGTACTAAACTTTCGCCAACTTAAAGATGATTGCATTATCTTATTAAGAAACAAGACTCTTATAGGCAAAAAGGTACTTGGGCTCTTATACGTGCGAGCATATGTAGCAGTTAGGCGATGATTTTCAACTAGACGTACTCTGCAATAAGATGCCTTTTCTACGTTAGCTAACACGAATCCAAGAACCTTAATAGAGGCTTTGCCAACAGTTACGTTCTAGCTTCTAGTTAAGATGCTTATGGGGTGCGGTTTGGATTGATTTGTAATTTATACAATACATAATTCCTATAAATCGTATAATACAATCTTATTCCCTCCATTTTATATGAATGACATTTATATGAAAACTGCAGAAAAATAAGATTTGACTATTGGAAATCAGCCTTCAAACACTGATTTATTCAAATCTGCTTTACGGGCAAGGATATCAGAGTGGACTTCTTTAAAAAACTATTAATCATAGGAGGGCTTTGCTTTGATCCGAGAAGGGGAAACAGCAAAATGTTCTTTCGAGCATAGAGGGTAAGTCAACAGCATATTCCTTGCAAAGTAAAATAGGTATTGAACCGCACTTGAATAGCAAAATAAATATTGATCGATTCCTTTAATTCTATTGTCTTTAGATACATATGTAAATTACAAACAGATCTTTGACTGGGCATAAAATTCAGTAAATTCTACGTTCACGTTACCAGTATCCATGGTAATGAAGCTAGCAGTAATCACTTCTACGTTATCACATTTGCCCGCCATTCAACACACTAACACGACTATATTACGAAATAAGGACTCAATCTGAAGTCATGATACTTTTACTCAATTAGGCTTTTAACCAACGCCCCTGACCGTAAGAGAAAGAGTATTGGGAAAGTTGATACGGATATTTAGTCAACTGTCTTGGAAAGAAAAAACCCCTTTACTTATTCGGGCAGCATTTTTCCGGCAATTGTTCAGAGGCAAGTTTCCCCGCTCTCCATTTTTGCAAACTGACGTCCTTAATACCAGCTGCATCGAATCATAGATACGGAAAATCCTATACCAGTAGAAATGCACCAGATCTGTCGATTTAGTTGACGTGAGCAAGCAGGCTAAGTATTGAATCGCTTGCCTCAAATACTACAAGGACGGGAACCCTTGCTAAGGCGCTCGAGAAAAATTCAAGTAGGACATATGCTCCTTGTGTGGAAAGCTAGACTAATTTCAATACCCTTTTATGTATCACTTTTCTATCAACGGGATTGATCGAATCTTACTAGGGGCTTTTTTCTTATTCAAGTCCAGGTTAATGACAAACAGAGCCATAATTTTGCAGTAAGCATTCACAATGCAGTCTTTTTGATATGCATGGATTGCCTTTGCATACTGAATTGATGGTCCCAACACCCTGGAATAGCAAATTCCGAAAATGATCACTCTGGCTACCGCTACCCACGAATTTTCGACATATTTTTGATGACCAGCATCTTGTTGACTCTTCTTCCAAAGGTCTCTTGATTGTCTTGGCAACCACAGACGCTGTCATGAGCGGGTGCTTTGAGCCAGCGCATCTAGGATGCCTTTTCCCCTCTTTTTCAGGAAGTTACCCATTGATTGGTGGGGGATCACAAATTGCTGTCATCGAATGACTGAAACAAAAATTAAAGGATATTCAAACGCACAACTTCTTGATACCTGATTTGCTTGAAAAGAGATTTCTAAAAAATATCCCCTAGCCACCTATTGCTGGAAAGGCAGGGTGGTGTAAGCAACTAATAAAATAAAAAGCTGTGATAACAGTGCCGTCGGAGAATGAAATCCATATTAGGTGGGGGGCTCCCCATTCAGTATACTGTTGTACGGGAAATTTAAATCAGTTTCCAATTATAAGGGGGGCGGCGGATTCCGACGACTCTGTGATGCTATTGGTGGCACCAAAGGAACCAATCAAATGCGTCAATCATCCTCCCAAGTGACTATCGTTCCGCATCTGGATATTGATAAATTTGATCATGAAATGGTGTATGTATTATGAAATGGTGACTAAAACCCGGAATTGTAAGCGAAAAAGGAACCTTACCGTTTCCAACTGTGTTTACATTAGTAGATGATCTTGTACACAGTGGATAAAAGAAAATACATAGAAAACTAACCATTCCAATAATGGGTATAGAATCTTCCGTGGTTCTACGATATACTGGGTTATCGAAGTTCACAGCTTTTCTTTCCCTGAAAATAAATAAACTATTTTATCAAAACAGGAGAACATATCTGCAAGAGAAGCTTTGAACCATGTGTCGGTGAATGCATTACATAGCGAGATAATGGGGATCCTTACACATTTACCAATGGTTCTAATGAAAATTACTGTTTTATCAGTGGCTAGACTAGGGTGGAGGATCATAAGTAGCAAAGTTTACCGACGAAGCAAAGATAAAGAGAAATTTAGGTGCTATTTCACCTACCGATAGATGATTTGGCCGACAAACCAGGGATTTTTTGCACCAACTGAAGATTTACCGACAAATTCATGAAAAATTGGGAGGGTGTCACACCCCCCACCCTCTAGCTACGCTCCTGGGTGTCATTTAGTGCTCCATGCCGTATTGGCAAAGCTGTACAGCGTGAAACTCGAAGCAACAACAGTCCGTCCTGTTCTATACAAAAAGTGTATAATTTGTTCTAGTCATGTAATTGATATTGCAGACCCAAAGCTTGAACGGGTTTATAGGCATCGAAGACCACACTTTCACTGTCCCGCGCTTTCTCTGTCCTGCGCTTTCACTTTCCCGCGCTTTCACTACTATATTACATTACATGTTTAATTATTTAGGCACGGTAGTCAACCTATGCACGGCTTTCACTGTCCCACGCTTACTTGGAACCGTGACAAAACTGTTGGCCCTTACGTTTACCCTAGCACTGAGAAACAGAAATAATTTTAACTGCTATCTGGAAAAATTTTGACCCTGCTATGAAAGCGAACAGATTTTGTACGGCCACGGTTCCGTTTTTGAACGGGACAGTATAAACGGGGTCTAATGCAACAACACTCTGTTTAGTTTCAATGAATCAAAGAATGGCTCAACGGGAAATCAGAAAAATACAGAAAGTCAACCAGAAAAATCGTTAATAAGTAGTCTACACGGATATGAATTTTGGCAATATCTAACCTGTAATTTTTCCTTAGATGTCTGTAGAATAAGTAAATACAGATGCTAGCGACAAAGAGGATACCAAGAACAACGCCAGCGACAATTCCAATGGTTTCACCTGAAAAAATTTCAACCGTTAGCACTAATCATGGTGGTTCATTCAGGTCTTTTTGCCTGAGAAGGCGATAAGTCTTTCTCAAAATCCCCTCCCTCTTATTTAATTTTGACCTTGTTTCTTTCACTCCTTCCTCCATTGAGATATTTTTGCCATATTAAAAACTGAATCAATATTCGGGGAAGATCAGGTGAGAAGCGTTTGGCTGAACCTACTCAAGGACAAGAGTTACTAAAGACGGGAATTTGAGACTGTGAGACTCTATGAAGGCCGACGTGTACTTTCTAGTGGTAGGAATATTCAAGATTTAGTCCATTTATAAGCAAGATTGATTTTGGAAAACTCGTAAAAGTAAAAAAAAAAATTCTTGCTAAAGAGAATATATAGATAACGCGTTAAAATTTAATGAGAAGGTAACTATTTTAGGCCTTGTTGGTGTCAAGAAAATTCTCAAATCTTAAATTTTATAAGGTTTTATAAGTAATCAGAGTACGAAAACATTACGGTTCTAAGGCTGTGAGCCGGAGGAAGGTTATCAAACAGTGCAGTAGTTCTGAGGAAGGCAATTTATAACTTGAAGAAAGTTGAGAAAGAATTAGAGGAATCTACCGCTGTGGTTGAACCTTTCTTTAATGACAAAGCCAAAAGACCAAACCATAAATCATTACTAAGAAATTTGAATTGAAAGATAAAAGGAAAATTTTGTGGAAGGCAAAAGGGGAAGAATTTCATCCGGAGGAATGTTAAGGAGGTTTCTTAACTCTGGTTTTGATGAACTCCCTAAGATACCCAGAGCTTTAACTTGTGCTTCTTCTATCCTTTCCCTCCACATAAACAGCCTAGCGTGACGTCGAAAGAAACTTTTGCATGAAAAAACTATTCCTTTTGTCAGGTAAATCCTAATTCAAGGCAATATTATCAAGGGAAGGGAAATACAGGAAGTTCCACTCTGAGGGAAAGACGAAGCTTGTTGCTTTCGAAAAGTTTCAAAAGCTTTTTTTAGATGAACAGGGTGGGGGTGTGGTGGTTTATAAAAACGTGGGGATTTATGGCAAAATCTAAAACTTAACAAATAGGAGGTTTTAGCAAGCAGGTGAGTTAACCTATTATGAAATTGAAGTATTGTAGAATGTAATTGCAGCATATTTCGAATTTCAAATTTTTTCGAATGTATTCGTCGATTAAACAAGGGAGTTTCAAATCAGAAGCAGGGGGGTCTTCAAAATTCGTGAAGAAAAAAAAGCGGATTTTGTTTACTATCGACTCCAGCGAACTGTATTGCATACAAAAAAGTACTGTGGCCATGCAGTAGTCCTGACAACTGTTCTCTTACAAAGAAAAAAATTTTAAGGTGAAGATTGCCTATTATCATGGTAATTTCATCAAATTATTCGCAAAACACACAAAAAGCTTACCAAGATCTTCTTTCTTAATATCTTGCTTATTTCCTGCTGCCTGTGGTCGGCTGGTAACGTGAGGTTGAAAGGATGATCGTCTCTCGCACCTTTTTCCTTTATAACCGCGGGCACATCTGCAGAAATAGAAAAGGCCATTGTCAACAATCATGGCAAGCCATTAGAGGAAAACAGGAAGCGCGAGAGTTGCTGCAAACACAGCCAATGAGAAAAAACACTTTTGAGAGTAATTAATTAAATGTGTAATTAGAAACATGAATGTTCAATTAAAAACCGTCGGTTGCGGAACATCAGGCCTATATCATGCTCAATATAAGAGAATAACAGCATTGAGGATAAAAGATGTTTTTCATGGTTAATGACGATTGGATAGCCTTGGACACATGGGTGATAAAAAGATTCCCCTTCCAACGACCCTAGTTACTACTTTTGACTAGTACCCATAACAGCCATTAAGGCAAAAGCATTTTAAAAGCAAAGGATATATATGAAAGCCGAATAAGTGCAGCAATGTCAAACTTTATTTGTAAAAAATTTGTGAAACTTTTAAACATTTGAAGCAATAGAGCCAACATCACTATTCAATTGGATTGCCTGTTTTACTTAAAAAGACTTTACTCTCTATTGCCGATTTCTAGTGGCATATTTTTGGGGATTTCTGTTACAGAGTACGCAATGAGACCGCTCTATTTTCTTAATCTAACTGTTATTTTCATAAGTATAACGAAAAACATTTTCCAATAGCAATCGCTATACAAATTGGCGGCCTTGTCTTTGGCAGTTTTGCCGTTTAGCGGAGAATGACTGATCCGATATGAATGCTGTTGTTCTGAAAAGCTGCCCCTGATAAGCAAACAGAGAAAAAGCAATGATAGAGACACTTGCTTGCAAATGCGAATATTCTTGAATCTTTTTGCTGTACTGTTGACACATTCACCACCATTCAGACAGTAGTTTGGTGTACAGACATATGCACCTAGAAAAACACATAGAGTACAAATTAAACAATTCCATGACTGAACTATAAGCTATGAATTATCGTTACGGTTTAGAAAACATTTGACACCTTCTGCAGGGGTTCAGAGGCATAAAAAGTACTTTGGTAAAGTAACAATACAAATACAAGCAAATATATATCTGATAGAGTTTCAGTCCACACTTGCACTTGGAGATGAACTGCAATGTTGGAAAAGCATCAAAGTTTTTGATTTTTGACCGGTGTATATAGATCGTTTATTGATCCTCAAAGCCCCTACTTGAGTTTACCTGGATTCATACTGCAGGCCTGGTTGAAAAAGCTATATCGTGTTGCATGTCCTAATCGACATTTTGAACTCGTTGTTAACATTACGTATCAAGCAGTGAATAAATAGTATAATTTGACAAACTCACTCGTTGTATTGCATGTTTGCTTGTCGCGAAGGAGTTGAACACCAGTTGGGCATCTACACGTATACACATGTTTTGAAGAGAGCAAGCACAAATGGCTGCAACCGCCATTATAACGTGCGCAGGGGTTCTTGGCTACAAAAAACAGAGCAAAGCTAAAAGGCGACAATTTCAATCTTGTCTGCTTCAATTCAGCCAGATGTCAATTTCTTTAGCTATATGTTGACAAGATTACGAAGAAATGACTCACAAAAAAGCAGAGTCTGCTAAGCCTGTTTTCAGCACTAAATGACAAAACTGCACAATCATAGCCACTGCTTTTATTCGGAGTCAACCTTCTCATTGTTTCGTCAGTAACTTTTATTCCGCTGAGCAAACTGACTCAATGAAGAGAGCGGAGAAATCTAAACCCAGTCCTGGAGGTTTCACCTTTGCAGTTATAAACGCAGGTAATCTTTTATATTGTTGTGCTACATTTCTTTCTCAAAGACTATATATACCAGAATGGCTATTAAGTGCAAGACAGGATTTCGCAAAAACATTTTTCCGGAAAAAAACCTTGCTAGATAACTCAAGAAGCCCAACCTGTTGGCTGCCTTAAAGGGTGGTAGATCTCTAGGCCCATCAAGCTTGACACCTTAGAAACAAGGGTGGTTTTGCCTTTATCAGTAAACCTGTCAGCTTTAAAAATTGTCTCGTGACTCCACTCGGTCCAGTACATGTAATCTTCAAAAACAGTTATGGCAAACGGGTGATGGTCGGGTAATTCTCGGATCACTCTTCTATCTGATCCATCAAGCCTGCTACTCTCAATTAGCTTCCTCTTTGCATCTGTCCAATACAATCTCAAAAGCGCAAAGTCAATCGATATTCCATTAGGCCAGCCACCAGTAAGATTATGCAATACAACTCTGGTATCTAGGTCGCCATCCATGCTGATTTTCTCAATCTTGGCGTTGGCACCCCAGTCTGTCCAATAAATATGTCTGAAAAAGGAATTTTGCTTCTAATCCATCTGAATTTTTAATCAAATAATCATTCACGACAATGAATCTAAATGTCACCCTATCTTCTAAAAGGCAAATAAACACAAATCAAGAGCAAAATATAAAAAAACATTGAAAAACAACCAAAGTAAAAAAAACAAAAAATAAGAAACAAATTATGCATTTTATCTTGTAAGCCTTTAAAGGTTAACTTTTGCAAGCCTAAAAAAATTCAAACTGAAAGAGCTAAGCAGAGAGTTTCATGAAATCATTCTTTGGTATTGTTTAGTGACACAAAAAAATTTGAATCTGCTAACAAGATATTGCAACATTACGACTCTATCCATGAAAGACTACTTTCGTTAAGTTTACTACTCTTCTTCAATTTTACCACCACATCTTTAACTACTCTTGAGGACGGGAATAAAAGGGGTGAAGGACGTTTAAAAAATGGAAGGAACAAGGCCAAGTTTAAAAATAAAGGAACTCTTGGGCTTATATGGGGAATGACCTATAGAGAAGCGAAAATATTGTTCAAAAGGATCGCAATGACATTTTGCAGTTCGGAATTGTAGTTGCATATTTTCATCCTCATAACAGGCAGCCAATTGCAAAGAAACTTCTCTATGTTTCTGGATATGCCAGTATAATATTCTTTATTTCTACGCAAACTAAAAGGAATGTTTAGGTATTGCTGGGTAACCCAAGACTTGTACCAATTAAAAGCAAGATAAATATACCTTTTGGATTAGGAAATTAGCAGCTGTCTCATAAATTGTCTTTCAACAACTATTTACTGCCAGCAAAAATTTCCACTACTGGTGCGAGGATGGTTCGGAGGTAATGGTCGCAGTCTACAGATCTAATGGTCGGGGTTTCGAGTCCCTGACAAAACCAAACTTTCACCCAGAGTGAGGGAAGTCGCCAGATCTCTGTAATCCCAAGCGTAGGAATAACTAGGTGTGGTTTCATCGAGAGAAAGGACCCGAACATTGCACGATAAGAATTGCTTCTCAATGTCCAAAAAATATCTTCGGTGGTTTGGCAGCAACAAATAAAAAAACACCTTAAGCAAATATCCTAATAAGGTTCTACAACTGTTCATGTAAATAACGGTTCAAGGAGTATGCAAAGCAGACTAACAGAACTGGTTATGTAACTGTCTGTTCCATACCTTCCTTGATCTGTTGGATCAAGAGCTATTCCACGTGGTTCAAGCATGCCAGTATTTAAAAGCACCAAAGTTGAGCTACCATCCATTTCTGAAACTTCGATAGTTTTGAGTCCCGTGTCTGTCCAATACAACTTACGGCCAATCCAATCAACTGCTAAGGCATCAACAATGGAGCGTTCATTGAAAACTTTTACTCGACTCTTCATCTCAGGGCCACTGAAGGGCACTTTGTAGATTGACATATCCCTGTTATCTGCCCAGTACACCTGCTCTTCAGCAACGTCGTAAGTCACTCCAATGGCACTGCTTAATTCACTGGCAACGGGCTGCATACCGAAGGGATTGAAGGAAATTCTTCGTATACTATGTCGTGCAGCAAATATCAGGCTAGGCTCTTGACCTGATAAATAAAAAAGGATATACCAAAATGAGGGAATGTATTTCTGCCTTTGCAGGTTTTTTAATCACAAACAAGCTTCATACAATCGTTTTCAAAAATATCTTTTGGGTGGCAGGAGTGAGTTGAACAAGTGTTTCTCTGTTCACCAGTAATAAAGTACTCCAGCATCAAACAACCACACAACCAAGACTGGTAAATTAATTTATCACTAGTAAGAAAATTTAAAAAAAATGTATTTCTTGACATTAATTCTGCTATAATTAACAATATATTTTTCAACAATAGAAGATTTCCCTATACAGTACCTGCATGACTCTGACAATTTACCTTAATAATCGGAAATAACCTATTACATCACATATAAGCCCACCCTGTAAAAAGCCTGTGGGCTTATATTCGGGTACAGGCCTACTGGGCCTTAAGGAAGAGACCTCTCATTTCGAAATGAGGACGTAAAAAGATACTTCAGAATAAAGGATACTTCATAAAAGGTCACAAACCAAAAACCATATTTTATTCGGAGTTCAATGCACAACAGCAATAGGTTAATAGATTAATGTAAAAGCAATTTGATTGCTAACACAAAAAGATACATCTAAAAATATTTTATCATTAATTTATTTTTTATTGGTAATACATAAAGATACATAAAAACCATATATATCCTATATTTATTGTTTGGTCCAACTTTTTGAATTGATAGGAAAAAAAATTGGGTGAATTTTTCAATAGTGTATTTGTAACTTTATGGAAAATACCAACCTAATAAAAACTCGGGAATTCCACTATGTATCACCTACCACTCAAAAAGCTCAATTATCGCCATTCAATATATCTTATCAAACGGAACTTGAAGAAAGAAGTAACAGCGAATGGCACAAAATTTTTCATTCATTCAGGTGTAAGAGCCTTTAAACATAACAAATCAACTCTTTCGTATCAAATAAAAATCTGTCAAATCCCTGCACTATTCTTACCTCTATCAGGCCTGGCCCTAAGACTTCAGCCAAGGGAGTAGCAAACAGCTCTTCCAGTCACGGCCAGGCCTACTCCATAACATAATGCCTTTATTCGAAAGTTGAAATTACTAACAGCAATGAGAATTCTGGTAATTTTTATTATCATCAAGTTCTTTACTCACCAATAGCCTTGCATGTTTTCCCATTATACTCTAAAATATATGTTGACAGACAGCTGCATTTGTAGGTTCCTTTTTTGTTTTCACAAATTTGGCTGCATGAACCATATTTCATGCATTCATTCGTATCTGAAAGCGGAAGCGGTGATATGAGCAAGGACCATTTCAAGCAACGTCTTGATTCTGAGGCTGGATACTTTAAACGTACATTATGATTAGGCTAAAAAGAACGACCAAGTTTAAACCTACCCATATACAATCCGTGTACCCATTAAAGATTCAAATGAATGAAACAAAACTGACGCGCTAAAAGCTATCTGGCAACAAATCGCATTGTACAGCCTTTTGCAGCAACAAATAACAGAAGCAACAGGTTTAAGCAACACGAAATTGGCTTTTGGCTCGCTGATTAATAAGAAATCAAGAGATGCAAGAAAAATTTTAGACACTTCTATTAACGAACTCATTTTCGTGTCAACCATTTCCGGTGGTTATTCCTCGCTTCTCGACAATGCCCAAACAAGTTGGAGAAGCAAAATAGATATATCAGCAATACCTTCAACAAAGCTGCAAGTATCAGAACCTGGGAACTAGATTTCCAGAAAAATATTTTGCTTGGCAGAAAACTTTTAGCAAAACTTGATGAAAATAGCTCTTTTTGTTCTTGACTTTTTCCCAACAGATATCTGCAGGTTGTAGATAGCATCGAATAGAGAGGTTTCACATTTTTGAAACCTTTTTAAAAACTATTACTTATCTGTCAGATATCACAAAAAATTGTTTAACTTGGAAACAACCTTCATCCTCCTTATTCAGGGCCTTTTCAACAGATAAAGTTTCAGATAAAGCAATAAAAAATTAGAAGCCCTTTGTAAAAATATGTGCGTACTTTTTGGTACACAATACGTTCACCTCACAGAAAATTTTTGTCCTGTTTCCCAGGTTCCCAGAAAGGAAAATATTTTTTGCAGTTCTGACCTTCACTTAAAAATAAAACCTACATACCTTGGCAGATCCTGCCACGAGCTTCCAGTTCATAGCCCTTTCTACATTGGCATTCATAGCCAATCTTTTTATCAACACAAAGCTGGCTGCAACGCCCGTTGTTATCCAAACACTCATTGATATTACAACTCATTGGTTCGTCTTCTTTTAATTCACAGTCGTCTTTTGCATCACAGACCTTACTCTCCGGAATGCATCTATTGCTGTGCACGCATCTGAACTCATTTTCAGCACACTGCTCCACTGAAACAGAAAAAAAAACATTATGTGTGACCGTAAATTAACAGTATCGGCATTGTTCCGCTAGAGCCTTAACTGTGATGGGTTTAATCTTATAATCGCCAGATCGGCCACAAATCTCGCAGTGCTATATCTGGGCAAATAAATAGTAAAGCAATTGACGTCACATTCCAATTATAAAATCAGTTGATCTAAATTACTAAACTGGATTGCCCCTCGATAACTGGACTGTCCCTCGATAACTGGACTGTCCCTCGATAACTGGACTGTCCCTCGATAACTGGACTGTCCCTCGATAAGTGGACTGTCCCTCCATAACTAGACTGCGCCTCAACTTCATACATTCGGACAATACGTACCACAATCCTTTTCATCTTCCCAGCGAGGGCAGTCAGGTTTTTTGTTGCATTTCAAGGAATAATCAATGCAAGTTCCATTGGAACACTTGAACTGGTTTGGTTTGCATGTTGCATTTAAATGACAGTTCTCCTCGTCACTTCCGTCACTGCAATCCCTTGATCCATCGCACCTCCATTTTCCTAGAATACATTTTCCATTCGGACCATGATTACTTGATCTGCAGGCGAATTCTTCCGGCTTGCATATCGGTTTCGAGGTTGACGATGAGCAAAGATGCGGCTGCTCATCACTTTTGTCACCGCAGTCATCCTCACCATCACAAACCCAAGATTTCTCGATGCACCGTCGGTTATTGCAAGTGAACTGGTTGGCTTTACAGCTTCTCGCCACTGAAAAATTCAAAATTGTTCCTGGGCTTAACTGCCGTTTGGCACATTACTAAATATGAACCAAGGCAACGCTTATAACAAATGCTCCTGGCAATCAATGTATGGATCAATGCGCTGTGAGAAATACATTTCATGTTGTAACGAACACTCGATTTTTATGACATCTTTGAATCATATTTCAATACAAAACAGGACTTGGCACAAGTATTTAAGTGAGGCAATCGCACGCGTTTTTTAAAAATGCACGCGATAGGATATATATAAATAAGCAAGGTTTAGAATAAAACACGCTTGTTAAATTTGTTCTATCGTGAACAAAACAGAAAAATTAAAGGGATTGAGGCTTTAGGTAAGTTTTAAAAGGTTTACGGAAATATACTTGGGAGCACTAAACTTGGTTTGTGCACTGGTGAATGTATGAGCGCAATTCACAATGAGACTTGCAAATGAAGCACTTCAAAGGCTTTTAAACGTTGATTGGTTGCCAAATCTCATAATGCTTTAAATACTGAAATTTTCAAAAAGATGAAAGTTCTAATTTTTCCCATCACTTATTAAAATCCGTCCACCTCAGATGTTTCTATATTCTTCCTTTTATATAGTAATGGAATCTCATTCTGAAAGTAAATAGAAATGAGCCACGTTGAAGTAGCCAGATGTGCAGGGCAATCATGAACAGGGCAAATTGCTGTGAGTTTAATTACAATCTCATACTCTGATAGAGAGTTATCCACGTAACAGAGACAAATCTTGTGGCATGTGCCATCAAGTTATTGTCTTAGTCTGAATAAACCTATACCATAGAGCAGGCCTTTCTCTGAGACGAGGGCTATAGCCCATGCCCACGCAAATCGCACAATAAATATGAGAGCTTTTTTCTGCCCATGCAGTTTTTCAAATTCAACGTTCTCATTTAATCTGCACAGTTTAGCTTCCCAATATTTGTACTACTTTACCACTAAATATCAGGGTGTTAGGAAATAATGAGAAAGAGGTCTTACATGTCTATGTGTTTATCAAATGATGTCATAAATAGGAGATTTCAGTTTCCTTATGATTCCTTACATAGGACATGTTAACAAACTTGTAATATCTGCTAAAACTTGCAATAGAATAGGAAATATGTATGCACGAAAGGAACAACATATAGCGTGAATAATGCTACGAATAATGAAAGTGAGAAACGTTACACCATGCTCTAAGATAGAAAACAATTTCTTTTCAAGTAAAGACATATAAACTAGGATTTTGCAAAAATGTCACATTCAACCTGCTAAACCTAACAAAACTTTGCTATATTCCAAAAGTTATCTTCCTCTTCTGTCTCATTTTGAGGAGTGATAATACAAAATTTAAAGGTAGTAATACACACAAAAATGCCTTCTTCATCCGAATCGTGCTTAGAGAATTAGCAAGGTAATTTATTTTTGTCTTTGTAAATACTCAAATATGGAAAAAATTAACAACAGTTCAGTAAGGGCTAAGTAGCCCATGCAGCCAAACTGGCAAGGGCTTTTTACAGCCCACGTTGTATTTTTTCTCAGAAAGGCCTGCTGTAGATGAATAATATGCAAAATCCCTTTGAACTTACAGCAAAAAGTTTTGTCTTCATCCGATCCATCTCCACAATCATTGTCACCATCACATTTCCATCTTATAGCTATGCACCTTCCATTTTTGCATGTGAATGAATCTCCACTACATGTTGGTTTTACTGCAAACAAGAAAGAAGAATATATCTGCAGGATGAAAAATAAATACATTCACATCTACTCACATATAAAAACAGACAGACATAAGCTTCCATACCATCATTATCTCATGCCTGACACAAAAACTTGGGCAAGAAATATTACCTTTGGCAAGAATTTAACTAGATGTGACAATAATACTATTCATGAGTTCAAATTAAAAATCATGCCTGACACAAAAACTTTGGCAAGAAATATTACCTTTGGCAAGAATTTAACTAGATGTGACAATAATACTTTTCATGAGTTCAAATTAAAAATCAGTGGATTTTTTAATACAGTGGTCTTTTTTTCTAAAAAATGGAGAAATATAATATTATCAAAAACAAAAGACTTAACTCGATATTTGAACAAGTGTATGCCACTGTAAACAATTATAAAATATAATACTATCAATAATAAAGGAAATATTTCTTAACAGAGTATCCTAAGATGATTATACATAAAATTATAAAAAAACCCACCACAATCCTTTTCATCTGATCCATCTGGACAATCTTTCTCATGATCACAAACCCATTTCTTCATAATACAGGACCGATCACCACAAATAAACTGATTGGAGGGGCAGGTAACATTACCAGAAACTGATGAAAAGATACAAATATACATTAAATTATATTGAAGTGCTCACTAAAAGTGCTTTAGCATTCGCAGGCTGCCTGTCTGTAATTCTAATTGAGGTCAAACCAACTAAATATTTGATTTTATAAATGGTTACTTTAGCTTTCTAAGCTGCAGTTTAAACATCTTAATAGTAGTGGCCTGCTAATGTTTACTTGTTTGGAAAGACTTTGGAAAGATAGCGCCATTAAAACGCAAGCTTATACATCAGTCTGCAGATCGAAAGTCTTCATTCTAATATTACAACATTTGCAGACAATACTTGTGCTGTCAACAATCAATACAATTCTTTTGATTGTTTTAGGGTAGCTCCATGGGGGAATTTAGTCTATATTCAAATTTGCTCTCAACCAGCCCTTTAGAAGAAACTGATCAACACAAAATTGGGTCATTTTAGCACAAAAGTATACAGGAACATTGCAAAGAAAAATTCTATCTAAAAAAACAAATTTACCGCAAGATTTTTCATCACTTCCATCAGTCTTACAGTCTCGATCACCATCACAAACCCAACTGCTTGTTATACACTCCCCTGATTCACATCTAAACTGTCCCTGCTCTTCCTTACATTCGATTTGATCTAGAATCAGAATTTTAAGACATTATAAGACATATGCACAAACTCTTTAATAAACAACTGTTGGCAACCTTCCTCTGACCATTGAGTCTACTGACTTTCTCTTCTAATACTATTGAATCTTTCATCTCGAATGTGAAAAGGTGAAATACAGACCATTCTTAAGCTGGAAATTGAATAACACATATTTCAACATGCCTTTAAGGTAAGCAAATAGCATTTAACCAAATAATTTTTATCCTGAACTTGACCTAAACATTTAAAACTTTTAAACTTGCCACCAAATACTGTGAAAACTTGTCATTTCCCTGTTTTGAATAAGTTTTACAGATTTTCATGAGTTAGAAATATTACTTTTTGTTTCACTTGAGAGTAAGTATGGTAAAACTAATGTTTGTCTCATTAACAGGCCTTTTCTTTTGACAGTAAGTGACAACTTTTGACAGTAAGTGACAATTCACAATCGTGTCAGCATGCACGAAGCCAACCATGCAAGTGTTTGATTGCTTGTGCAAAACAGTTAATTGTGAGAATAAATGTTTCATGAATTAACACATTTCCAGCTACATTTTTTGACCCAAGCAATTGTCGAGCCTCAAAGCGGGGTACTTATTCAGCAAGGGTGTTTTTTCAAATGGGGCGCTTATTAGATTTTAATGGATGTCAAAGCAATTAAACCAAAGACAAAAAGTAAAAGAAGGATTTTGAAATTACAAAAGAAGATAGTCAGAATAAGTAGGACTTGAAGGGTGAATAAAAACCTTACAATTTAAAACTCTTTTTGACTAAATGCTTTTTAACTGCTAAGAATGCTGCCAGTCGAATTCTTTTTCTTCTGTTAGTGAAAAGTGTATTATTGTCAATACTAAATTTTCCTTATAACTGTCGCAATAGAATTCCAGTTGAATGTGCCGTGAAACACCTGTTTGTACAAATACGACGCCGGATTCTGAATGGTTCATTGATGGACAACACTCTACGTGTGTAAACCAAAACAAATTACTATTACAGCCTAGACCGCCACATTTATAAACTACAATCGCCGATAAGCATTTTACCGAATTAAAAAGTAGATCTTAGGAATCTGGCATTTTATTTACCCAAATTACAAACAATTTCATATCATAAACAACGCTCAGTATTTCGCGTCTCTTGGCCTGAGCCGGCCCTGATAGTTAGCCAATATGTCCTTGCGTGTCGGATGAGATGCTACATGAATGAACAGAAAAGAGTCTGTAGTTATCTAAAATTGATCAATAACTTTTAACTTACCACAGTGCTTCTCATCAGTACTATCATCGCAGTCTGCTTCCCCATCACAAACCCATGACACTGGAACACAAGTGCGAGGATTTTTGCACTCAAACGTCCCAGCCTGACATTTGAATCCTGAAAAATAATGATTTAATTAGACAGAATACGAGCTTAAATCTATTTTACATAGAAAATGTCGAAGGGATCAACGTACATATCTGGCTGAACTCAATCTTGCCTATCCTTGTAGGATTAAGGAAATAAATATATCAGTGTTGTTTACAAAACGACGTGCAGAGTGCGGAGTCCGGAGGGGCCTATATATTACTGGCCTAATTTCCAAAGCGAAATCCTGTCTTAACGGTTAACATTTAACAGCCATGCGTCAATAAAATCATCTAGAGACTGAAAACGGCCAAATGAAATAGAGATGTCAAAATGTTAACTAGACTATGTAAGCTCTTCAACAACACGTTTCTAATAAATGACTTACCGGGAGCCTCACTGTGACAAAGTTCAGTTAAAAACAGCAGAGTCAAACCAACACTTAGCAACGGCCAGTGCAGCATAGTCTTTTCTTTCACCTCTATTTCTCGATTTCCTTAATCAGCGCCTTATAGTAATGAAAAAAAGGTACAATCACACAGAGGCATAATGTTCACCGCGTTTGTTTACAACGTGTTGCAGGAAACGTTGACTCCGTTAAGCGAAACACGCTACTGGCCTTATAAAACATCTTCTATATCTACTCAAAAATTTGCTTTTCGCGGTTACGTATTTTGCCATGTGATGAGACTGGAAAATGGGGTCAGGTTGGCTAGAAGGGTGCAGTGGCTTGAGGAGACAAGGGGGCTTAGGCACTAAATGCAACAGTTTTCAGAACATTTCGTAAATTTTGCTACTCAGGTAGGTTAGTTACCAAATTTTGTCTCAGGTTTTGCCTCTTTTTGGAGAAAGGGGCAAAATTTTAATTTTCATGGCTAATTTCTGGACAAAATCGCCACCATTATATTGCCACCATACAAACTACCTTTCTCATGACTAAGATTATCTTCCAACAAGAGATAATCTTAGTCATAAAGCTCTACAGCTGTTACAAAGTGGAAGAATGTGATCTGCATGCTCTACACAAAGACTGGGGACTCATTGCAAGCATGTTCCACAAAATAGACTCAATTTATATCCAAGAGATGGAATGTACATAATTTTCTTTGACGGATATTTACTAAGCTTTGCTTGAGTGCCTTTGCAGAACACAAACATAGATGTATTGGTATCATCATACCACTGGAAATGCAATCCGCTGGTTGGGAATTTAGTCCTTTGAGACCTTGGATAAAAATCTTTGCTAAATCATCTATACTCTTGTTTAACAATGTTGTGCTCTTGAGCAGGTGCCAAAATAATAATATAATAACATATAAAACCCTAAAAGTTATATTTGTGTTTGCAATATAAATTGTTGAGCTATTGATGATGACTCCTGGTAAAATAGTTCTATGTCTCTGTGATTCTTTGCAAAAATAAATTTTGTCTTACGTTCAAGTGATTCCATTGATAACAAGTTTGAGCTTTTGTCCTCTTGTTTTATTTGACACAACTTGAAGAAAGCTGTATAATTCAATTTTATGATACCTTTCACGATTTTGAGAAATCAATTTCATATCTCCACAAATACTTCTATATACAAGAGTTGGGAGATCAAATGTAATAAGAGGCTCCTTGTAGGACAAGAGCTTGAGAAGCTCTTCTCGGTGGTGGCACTAACTTTGTGGCTCTTCTTTGGAAACTTTCGAGCAACCTTATGTCTTTAACAAGGCTCAAGCTGCAAATGGCATCCAAACTTAGGCAACTGGGCTCAAGGGGGTGTCCAGGTCATATTTGCTGATAAAGTGTATGAAAAATTCTTTATTTGCACCAAAGTCCAAAATTTTGATGATAAAGCACCCCTAGAGAGAGGTGTCACAGCCCTTATGCCCTGTAGTCACGAGTCTGATGGAAGTATGCCTTTTTAATCAAAGACAATGTTTGAAATAAATCAAACATATTACCTTGATGTAGCATCCCCACACCCTTTCAAATCTGTCCTTGGTTGAAAATTTGTAATCTTCAAATTCAATTATAATGGATTGGCAAAGTTATTATAGTTTTGATTAAATTCCTAGTGGTTTCCCTGTATGATGTAGTTAAATTTTTGCGGCAATATCTTTAAATAACTAAGAAATCACTTAACCAAATACTTAACAGTTGATACATTAGTCATACTATTCATCAATCACTGGTGTTTTTACAATTCTCAACTTACCTTGGTGAGCCAGGCTATGAGCACTATTTTAAACCTATGAGCAATATTTACCTTTTTTATTTTTGATTCTACACTGATTTGTAGGAGGGATGAAATTACTTGGGTACCATTGTTTGATAAAAATAAGAACTAAATGAATTTTTCATTCGATTCTAAATAAACTTTTGTGAATCTCAAATTCCCTAGAACAATGGTAGCTACCCCTCTGTATTTCATGGTGATGTTGTATGTAACACCCCTCTGACATCCATTTACATGCAAACAAACGTGCCGTGTATTGTTTGCATATGTTTGAGGTGTTAGCAACAATGATGTTGTTCAACCTAAAGAAATTATACATCCGTTTGCTATCATTATGACAGAAGTTGTCCTTTGTTCATAATCTATCTTCGCTGATTTAATGAAAGGTTATTCGCATATAACATTGTTATTATTGAAACCAATCACTTATGGTACTAATTGCTTTGCTTTTAAAATAAGTGCGAAGGTTGATCTTTGCTAACATCCCAAATTAACAAATTAATTGCCTAAGATGAGAAAATATAAAACATACTATAGTGTAGGTCATCGCCATCGAGGTTCCTAGATTGCAATTTCGAGACAAAATGCCTTGAATTTATGGTAATTAGCAAGATCAGCATATGGCTGAGAAAAATAATTCGGAATTCCAGTTTAATATAATATCAAAATCAACACTAACATGCTAGCATACCCTCCAGGTCGTGTTGTTATAATAAAGCTAATCGCTTTCTCACTAAAGGCTTATCTTGCTCTTCGGGTTAACTTGGATTTTGGAACCATAATATGAAAAAGCCATTATTTTATACTTGCCTCCTTTGACTTTTTAACTGTGAAATATTTTCTCCATCAGTGGTAACAAGATAAACAAAAAGGGAGAATTCCCTTTTACAAAGTGCTAAATTTACCAAACTTAGGCCAATACCAAGAACCATAGAAGTGATCAATTATCGTGTCTCCACATGGATTCTATACCCAATTCGGCAGTCGTGCGACTCAGAGCTCGAAGATGTCGCACTATAACGTTATGATACTGAACTTAAATATTAATGATTTTAAAGTTTATTTCTACAAAACGTGTCATTATATCGAAGCGGGCCACAACACGTTCAAATTCAACTTGGTCACCAGCAGTTGAAAAACAATCAGTTAATCACCAATTGTTGATGATTAGGAGAATCCTGAAGGAAATCCATTCATTTGGAATATCATCGAACATCGATTGATCAAAAGTCCCATTGAAAAGTGAACGATCATTTGCAGGACAAATATACATTGAATTATTTTCCAAAATGAATGACATTGGTCCAAGTGGTTTTTTAAATTTGATGAATAAGTATTAACTGTACAGGAAAATCCGCATTAAAAGAAATTGCAGGTTGAGAATGTCCAGCCTGTTTTTATGCTATCAACAAAAGAGCGTCATCAAAGAATTACTCTGAAAAAGGCCAAAAAGTATAGGGGCCGTTTCAGCCAGTTACAGAAAATAACCTCATTAATTCTTTAATGCGAATTTTTTGCTGTATTGAAAAAAGCATTCAAACCTTTTTCAACCAAGACAAAGTGCCGGTATCTGGGCGCGAAGGGCTCTGTTGTCAAAACTGGCTAGTCGTGTACAATTATATTCTGCGATAGCCTCCAAGCCCTCATCTGGCGCTACCACTGCCCCGGCTAGGTACCGGTAGAGCACCGATGCAACTTAGTTTACTTGTATCTTCATTATAATTGGTAGTTTCTTTTTTGTAATTTCTTTCTGTGAGTATAATGTAGTTTAATCTCAATTGTATGTTGTGAAATAATCATGAAAACTGAAATTGAAAAAGAAGCTTCAAAGTACCCAGGGGCGTGCCTCGACGATTTGGAGTGGTGGGGGGGGGTGTAAACGGGTGAATTTACCGACCAAAATTCAACTCTTGCTAATCAATGTAGAACTTATTTTACAGTTATATATTGTAAATTTTAACCCCCCCCCCCACAAACACACAGAGTCCCGGTAGGTACGCCCCTGAAAGTACCAGCCAGAGTCAGAGTTCGAAAAGAATCACGTGCAGAGATTGCTCCAGATCTGATTGCCAAAATTCAACTCTTGCTAATCAATGTAGAACTTATTTTACAGTTATATATTGTAAATTTTAACCCCCCCC